GGTGGATGGATTGACTTCGCCGTGTGGATTCACATTCCCCAGACACTCCATGCATGGCATATTCACATACATTCACCCCCAGTCAACCATTTGAACGGATCGGCATATATGGCAGTCCCATGGAGTGTTTCGGTTCCATTCCTTTTGGCTCGTCACCTCGTTCTTTTTGCGTTCTGTTTTTCTCCGCCGGGCCCGTGTGGCCCGCGTAGCGCAGGATGCGAAGAAGTGCCCCCGCACTCGGGTGGATGACGGCTTCGTGCTGGTGCACGCTGACCGGTTGATCTTTGGCACCTGGACCGCAGGAGTGCGAGAACCGGAGTGTCATACAGAAGAAGCCTGGTCTTCTCAGTCTTCTGCAGTGTCATCGGCTGGATAAGTGTTGAACTTTGTTTGAGATACGGCCGGTGGAAATGAGAGGGCTTGGCATGGACTTAAGACTATGACTACTTTTCCTCTAGATGTATACAGCCCAGTTGTTGTCAGGTGTTGAGATACACTTTGACGAAGACATCACATGGAAGTGGAGGTCATCCCCCTCTTTGTAGAGGACAGCCCTCCATCCACTTCCATGTGATGTGTTCGTCAGAGTCTGATTTCTGATGTTCAACCTTCACTTGGGATGATTGGTCAGCCGCAGACTCATATGACATCATATGACATCATATTCTTCGTTTGATTCCGTTGAAGCCACTCGAATTTTTGATGTCCGACTCGGCGATGCGGTGGAAACGGGCGGCCTGAAGAAAGGTCCAAGAGCCCAGGCCCCTGCTACTTTGTCTTCGTGCAACCCAACATTTGCAGTGCAGAGGTGGGGCGTGGGCGTTTATTGTGAAGGGAACAGGTCCTTGGCCTTTTTGTGATTGATTGATTTGATTTGGCCAGATGTCAACTACCATCAACGATCCATTCTCGGTGCACATCGCCTCTTGCTTCTTCACAGACTCGCTTCCTCCCACCCGGCCAGGTGCTCATTGCTTCAGGAGAAGCTGATTTCACCACGGCGCAGCAACTTGGCCACGCCGGCGACGGAACAGGAGGCCTAGGACGATACGCATCCTGCGGAAGTATCTGGATCCCAGACACTCCATGTATGGCAATATAAATATGCCTACATTGGGGTGGTTTGGGGGGTCAATGTGTATAGGCATATATGGCATACATGGAGTGTCTGGAATAGGATACCCAAGATTGACCGTTGCTTCAGAATAAGCCCTGTAGGTTTGATGAAGAACCATCCAGGTAGAGGGAGGTTTTCTTTCATCAAGCGTCAACAATTGTAACAGATAGATCGACGGGAGACCTATTCGCTTGACACAAGGATCGGCTGATTAGCTGCTAAGGATGGAGGAGATGCGCGAGAAGAGGCGGACCACGGACGCACGACCGGGGCTGTTTCGGTCGGTGCTCTGCCTGTCGCGGTCGTAGCAAAGCACGGATGTCCACGGCCATGGAATCAAAAAGGCCACGTTGAAGACGCGTGGCCTGGCCCATATTTGTATAATTTATGTTGGAGTATACACCTGGAGTCATCATGGAAGTGGAAAACCACCCATTTGTAGAGGAGTATCGTTTTTCCAGCTTTCCATGGGCAATTTCCCATTTCCACAATCATTCCGAGGAGTGTGTATGCATGCATGTTTATAACATCCATACAGTTAGGCAGGTTTCCATGCGATGCTGGCTCGTTTTAGATTGGGATCCAATCTCTTGTCGTGACTGTGAATGACAGGTCAGCAACAGAGAAGCGGATTCGGCAGAGCCTCTACTCACCCTGCATGGTCCTGCCAGGTGCACTGGGTCTGGGTTTTTCTATGTTTTTACACCCGTTTTTCAACCTGCCTGAAGGCAGGCAGCCGAAAAAAGCATCGAAAAGCCCATCGAATTTGTGGTGCTTCGTTGTTGGAGTCAAGCCCAGCAGGCTTGGAAGATGCTCAACATTTCGAGCAAATGCAGGAGATGCAGAAGGCTGGATCTGAAGATGATTGGAAGGTTATGCCTCATTCTACATCTTGGATAGGCTGCATAGAAACTCTTAGAAAGTGGTATTGGGATTCAAACCATATGTATACTGAAAACCATTCATTCTCATGCAATACGACTGAAACTCTTAGAAAGTGCAATACTGGGATTCATGGCTCAATTGACCCCATGTTTCCTTTGCTGACCCAAAATGGTGATGTTTTGGTTTGATGCTCAATCGATATTGTCCACGTTGCGTTTGTGTTCTCTATAGATCTCTATAGTGGGTGTTGTTCCTGGGCTTGTGTGCTTTTCTTGCAGTTTGCAAAGCGGGTTGCCCTTGTTGGTGTAAGCTGGCCATAGACCTGAATCTAGAGTGGGGTCCACCAACAGCAAGGGAGACATAACGTGCCATGTGACATCACTTTCGACATGTGACATGTGCGAAGCACTCTGACAGGAGTTGGAACAGGTGAAGCGAACATTGCAGCTGAAGGACAATGACCATACGGCAAAGGCTAATGCTAATGCTTCATGGATGCTCCAGTGGCACACTGGTTTTCACATCTAACTTCGAATCTAAAGTAGAGGTTTATCGCATGTGGTATTCATGTGGGACACCTGTGGTACCACAGCTTTTGATTGGTTTGACGCCTCCACCGTGCAGTCTGACCTTCGACTGACCAGCGCTGACATCGCGCGCATGGTCACGCGGCTGCGGCGACCAGCGCAGGAGCAGGTTCTAAGAGCGAAAGAGGACGAAGTGGAAGAGTTGCGACGGGAGCTGGCCCTGCTGCGGAATCCAGGAGTGGAGCTTCCGGGAAAGCAGCGACGTGAGTTCGGAGGGTCTTCACAACGATCTAAAAACAGAGGAAGACATGTACCGCTGGCCTGCTGGGATGTGGCTAAGAAGTCCATCCATATTCCCAAGTCCATGATGTGAGGTCGATATGTCGTCACTCCCTCGACATATCGGAACAGACCTTTCGTTCCACGGTTCGGTGCTTTGGGCGGGCCGTTTTCCGAACTGCCCAAGGAGAGCGACTGGATGAGATGCTCTATGCAGGGCACAGCAAGGTCTCGTTGGCCATCGACAACACCTTCGAGGACGGCCCTGCACGGGGGGCGTTTTCTTAGCCGTGTGGGCCGCCAGGGTGTGGCTGTGACCCCCCCCTTTGTGTGTATTGATCAGTCATAGGAAGGATACAGAAGAAGAACCACTATATTAGACTATAGGGCTTGAGATAGATATGAGCCCAAAAGATCCAACACACATCGATCTCCCAAAGCGCCGGAGCTCGCTTGCCCCCGGTTTGACCAAACGGTCAACCCTTTCGGCCCTCTGACCAGCTCCAGGAAGCCTTGGCACAGCTGAGTGCTGTGGAGGCCATGTTAACGTCATGCGCCCCTCGGGGCGACAGTCCAAAGAGCCTTGGAACGCGACGGGGTGACACGACGCGAGGTGGGTGGGGGTCAGTTGAAATTTGGGGATGCCTTGTGCTGACTCGTGCTGACTCGTTCTTTTTGCTCAGATTTTCACTGGCAGATTAGGCTGTTGGGAGGGGATCTGAGGACAGGCAAGGAAGAATCTCCAGGACTAAACCCAGAGAACATCACACATCCTAACATTTCATAATGTTTCCCTGTATGCAACATTATAGAACTATTCATTTCTATCATCACAGGTGCGGTCAATGGCAGCTGCTGGGGGATTTTTCTCGTTTCCATTGTTGGATGTTTTTAGAAATACCATGAAATACTGTACTCCGACGCTGTGAGGGATGAACAAGCCGTGTATGACAGCAGGATCAGTTTTAGGAACTTCCTGACCCTCAATCTGCCCCACTGAGGAAGAAGTCCCTGACTAGTTGAGCAGGCATTTTTTCTCGGAATGATGTTAATGGCGAAGAAAGCCAAGAAGTGAAGCAAAGATTTTGGTCATGGGGGACAGCATCGGTTTCTGCAATTACGATGGGTTCTGGATCAAGCAAGCTTCAAAACCGCTGAACCTTGTTTAAGACTAGGGCATGTGACCATTTTCCGTGGCTTTGTGAATACTGTCACCCAGAGACTTGCAGAATATTTACAGTAATTTTCCGCATGATTCAACCAACCACATTTGCAAGTCACTTCTTTGCTGGATCCTTGGCGATATCCTCCGTGCTTGGCCCTCTACAAAATGGACTATCATTTGACACCTTTGTCAGTCATTTCATAGAGATGTTATCCTTTTTAGAGACCATGTCACCATGTCTCTACAAAATGCTCGGCAAATGATTCCACTGGCAAAGCACGGAGGATTTATGGCGATCAGTTTAATCCAACTTCATTTGCAGCGTCGGCTAACGCAGCCGGCCGCTGATGCAGCCGCGAGGGCAGGGAAAAATGGTTTTCGGCACAGCGAGTGGCGAGTTGCGAGGCGATGTCTTCAGGACCGGATTCACACATGAAAAATGTATGTAGACTGCTACACGGATGACGAGGCCAGAAGGTCACTATCGGTCGGGGTTTTTGAGCTATATACAATTTATAGCTGGACGGTTCGGCAGCTGTTTTGATGCCGTTGTCGGCAGCCCTTCTTTGTTGCTGAAGTGCTTCCTTCCACTGCTTCGTTCCAGTAGCACAGCCAGCACTTCGACCAAGAAAAGCACATTTCGTCACTTCGAGCCACTCGGTTTCCATCATTTGGACATCTATGGGCATAAATGAAGCCGCGGTTTTTCAGGTTACAATCATTCTTGCATTGTTTGGTCAGATTGACCGAAGCTTTGTCAGCACGCGCAGAAAAGGAGCGGACGCGATATCACGACAAGGGGCAGTATCATCCCAAACTCTGTTCCTTTTTTTGGGGGGGTTATGTGGTCCTTTGGCTATGGGACAGGCGACACAATTTCAACCATTTTGGCGAGATTCAAACATATGTTTAGAATTCCCAGACACTCCATGGGACTGGTATATGCCGCCCCATTGACCCCCCTGGCACCACCCCAACTGATCAGCATATATTGCCAGTCCCATGGAGCGTTTGGGCTTGTAGATAACCGGGGGCCTCAGGCTGGAAGACACCGACAGAGCTGTTGGAACCTGGCCCTCGGTGTGTTTTTTCTCAGCTCCACTTCGAAGCCAAGTTGGATCAAGCCCACGCGAAGATGGGTCAAGATGATGCAGCGACAACCCACAGTGGAGATCGCGCAACCCACAGTGCCCGAAGGTTTTAAGGCAGGGGACCGGCTTCAAGCCACTTTTCCCAATGGGGAAAGCATCATGATTTCCATTCCAGAGGGTGCCGCACCCTTCGACGGGCTCTGGATCGAAGTGAGGCGTGGCCGCTGGGTACCGGCACGTGCCGCGAAGTGGCTTTTCAAAAGTCTTCTCTTTACATTAGGCTGTGGCCTTGTTTTTGCTGGATTTGGCCTGATGAGATGCCCAATTCATTGGTTGCTCTGGGTTCTTTGTTGCCTTCTGACCTGCTGTTTCTGCCTTTGTGCGCACACAAATGGCGGGAAAGCTTGCAACATATTTGCAACATGGACATGCCTTGGTTGTCCCATTCTCGGACTTTTAGCACTGGTGCGTCAGCTGTTTCTCTGCGACCCCGAGCACGACATGGGCATTGACGATGGGCCGTACCTGGCGATCCTCGCAGAAAGAACTGCTACTCGAAACTGCGTGCACATCGCGTAGACTTGAGAAATTATTACCCCATTTGGGATTGTAAAGGTAAAACCTTTTCTATCATTTCTATCCACCGCCCTTGCCTTCCGCGCCACAGCCGGCAGAAGTGAAGAGAGAAAGCCAAAAGCAAAACGAGGGGTTTCAAAAATCAAGAGTCTACACACTGTAGTCTATAGTCATGGGCTTGCTCACTGTCCCACAGACATGTCTATGGTTTTATGGTTTTAAATAATTGTGCCAAAGGTCCGGCTATGTCCATGTGCAAAACGATTGTGTCACACCGAATGTGGCGACGATTCAGTGACGTTCAGTGACGTTCGTGGCGTTTTTAAAAAAGTGACGATCCTGCAGGATCGCACGGCATCCCAACGTGTTATGGCCCTTCTCGATCCCTTTGTACATGCACTGTATACACTGGTCTTTTGCTACTGAGGATCCCCAAGGACTATGCATACTATGTGATATACGGCATTCTTTGTCCAATGCTGATTTGTTGCTGCGTTGGCACCTTTTCCCTCTTCGCTTGCGCATGGCGGAGAAGAAGCGAACTGGAACTGGCAGCTTCAATGCCTGCTATTAAGCGCGGTGCGGGCAAGATCGAGGAGTATGCAAACAAGTTCAAGAATATGAACCAGAACCATAATGATTTTGAAGGCCCTTTGGGGCGTCGCAGCACTGAATGTTTAAATTGTAGCTTTGGAGCAGTTTGTGGCCGTGGATCACCAAATGAGATTTTCTAATGATAGGGTTCATCATGGCTCACCAATTGCATCTCGGATTTGAAAGGGTGGAGTTGGACAGCAACAAGTGAACACCATTCTCACACTGGTGCAGTCTTGTTGCAGGCTCCTTTGACTATGCATACGGGAGTCAACCCGAAATCTACATCGAGAAGTTTGGCGTGGAGACCTTTGAGGGTCAAGCCAATGACCTCTTAGGTGTGGCCTCCTGCATCGACAAGTATGACAACCTTTATGACTTTGATGGCAACTTTCAAGGATGCCGCTTAGGATGCCGCTTCAACTCGTCATGTTTCCGTGTGTCGAGACAGGCGGCCATTCGGTCATGGCCTTCATTGGATTCGGTCACCCGCGGAGAGGTCGATAGGCTTTGTTTCTCATGGCGGTACTTTGATTGGTGGGGGCTGTTTCATGCTGATTCCATTGGAAGCAGCAGTAAAGTAACCCCAAAAAAGGCCGGGCCTTGTGCTAGCGGTGATCGCCTTGCCCTTGCAAATTCCAACACCCGAAGATACTTGGACCTCGTGCAGACACGATTGATTTGAGGTCCGCTGCCTGTCTGAACCCAATGCCGAAACTTGTCGGTACGAAACATGACAAGCCAGGGAGTCACAAAGGGGTGCCTATTGGAGGATAGGGTCCCCGTTATCCACTCACTTAGGGACTATATAAAAACCACCCCTTTGTAACTCCTGGAGTGTGACTTTCTGAATGGCTCATGGAAAAATGAACTGCCGCAGGAATCTTTTGTCGAGTGTATCACCTACCGCCGATCAAGTACATGGTGAGAGATGGCAGAGAAAAGTTTGAAGAAGCTGCCGAAGAGCTCCAACCAGTGGCCAGGAAGGTCAAAGAATATGTGGACAAGATGCGACGGGAAGGATTTGGAGCCAATTTTGAAGGCCAACGTGCACATGGTTGCTTTTTGGCAAAGTTTTACGGCTGCTCCAGGTACAAGACATGTAGTAAGAAGTCAAGTCAAGTGTATATTATTGGGCCCATTCAACAAATAGGGTTCTCATTGAGGTTTGTGACCATGACTTGCAGCAGGCAAATTCTGGAATCTGGAAGGGGAGTATGCCATCAACAGCGCATGGAAGGACACAGAAGCCTTTGAACGTAAAGCCCATCGTCTGCTCTTGAGCTACCACAAGGCAAGAGAGTCTGTGAGAGTGGTTGGAGCCCAGAGGTGTTGTGTGTGATTAGGTTGATCTTGGGTGCGCACAGGTCCCAAGTTGAAAAGAGGTTGAAAGACCCGAACTAGGCTATCCCATAGGTACTCCAGGTGACGGGTCCTAGTTCAGGTCACTGGCTACCTCTGTTGGTGGTTGTCCGGGTGCTGTCCTGTCCTGTCCCCTGTTCTCTGGTTGAAGACGAGGGAGCTCGCAGCACACCTGGGTCCTTTGGTTTGTTTCTGGTGTTTTCACCGGTTCGGCACGTGCGATTCCGGGTTCTCTCTAAAGAACGGCTGCCAACTTCAACTGTCCAACTATCATCGTCTTCTTGGTCATCATCATCATCATCATCATCATCATCATCTTCTTTCTTTCATACGCTCATCGGTCGATGAATGCGTGGACCCTTTTGGTCCCACCTGCGCCCCGAAGGGCCTTCCTCAACTGAAGTTCTGGTCGAGGAGCCGGGCCAACGTCGAAGCTTTTGCTTCTGCCCTTTGATGGGATCTCAATGCCAGGTGCAGCATTGCGAACTGCCGCAGGCATGGACAGCAATGGTCTTCATTCATGCCAATGCTGTGAAACGGTTGGCAAGCGCACCATCTTGTGGGGTGTGCTTTGGAAAGGAAGTTCACTGCTCCTTGTTCTGCCAGAGAGCTGCTGTCTTCCCACAATGAGCGATGGGCCACCTGCATGTGTGAGTTCAGGTCGCGAGGCCAGCTTCCACACGTGATGCACTTCTTCACCAGTCGGTGACAAAGGCGAGGATGGTCCACCAGCAGATCCGTGTCCATCAAATCCAGTCCTGGCAGCCATTTGCTGTGCCATTCGTCATTGATGGTCGGGTCATGGATGATGTTCTGGATCTTTTCCTGGTCCGTCAGGATGGGCGATTCGTCCAAGAGGGCAGGGACCTCCTCTGCACCTCCATGTGGTGTGCAGTTCAGCCAAAGTAGGCAGCAGTTCTCCTGAGCCACCAGTGGGAGCATAGAGAACTTCACCGGCATGTTGTCGTCGTCGTAGACCCACCATGAGTCACCGTCCTTAATGGCCGTGTTGTAGTGCCCCGAAGAGACCTCGGACCCCAAGTGGAAAGAGACGCCAATGACGATGAACGGTATGTGGTCGACCTCCAGCTTTGTGTTCAGGAAGTATGGCAGCCACACCTTAGAATCCCATGTCAATCGAGTGTGACTCTTCCGTCCCTTGGAGTCAAAGCGGTCGATGTGCAGGCATGTGACGTCCGCTGGTTCGGTGAGGGCGTGTAACCCGAATGATGCAAGGCTCCAGTTGGAAACAAGACCTTGAAGGTCAATTGGCAGGGTGCTTTTTTGCTCGCTGCAGATGTAGAGTCGTAGTGGGCACCCTTGGGCATTGTGGTCAACCACCTTCAATTGGCCATCATCCTCCAGCCGGCTTTCCCAACAACAACTGAGAAAAAGAGGATTGGTTTGTTGAAGAAGGTGATGAGTAAAGTCAACCACATCATGCTGCCGAAAAGGATTGGGCCAGTTGGCCAAGAGGGTGGTCCACTGCCCATCCGCCCATAAAAGCATGGACTGCCCTTTGGACACATCTGCCATGTCCCCTAATGCCCCAGGGAAGTTGGACCATTGGTCCGCCTTCAAACCATTGGCCTTGAGTGCACTCCAGGCTAAACCAGTGGCCGCTGAGTTCATGTAGCAGGCGGCTGCAGGATTTTGAAGTGTCCTCAGTGGAGGTGATGTTGAGGCCATCACAGTTGTTCCAGCATTTTGCCAACTTGTTGTGCAAGCGGTGTTCGATGAGAGCTGGCTGGGCGCATCCGTCCAAGCACTAGTTGCCAGAGTCCTGAATGACTGAGTTGGTGCCAGAGTCCCCTCATCTCGTTGGCATGAGTGTGAACCAGGGCCAGTGTGATCCGCCAGGGAATGATGGCTGACGGTGACTCCGTGTCCGTGGTCATGGCCTTCTGGATCTGCTGTTGGGGACGTAGGGCTCCGAATCTTTTGATCAGGGCTTCTTGCTGAAGCAGAGTGAGCATCCTGGTCACTGTCTGTGTGGCCTGCTGCATGGTCAGGGGCGAGTCCTCCTGAGCCTCCATCTGCTGCTTCTGGGAATTCCACCTCATACGAGGAAATATGAATGAGTCTTCCTTCTCTGGCTCGGGTTGCAGAAAGTTGAGGCGCAGCAATGTCTGGATCAAGGGATCGGAGGAGGCCGTGGATTGAAGTTTCTGTATTCTCTTCAGCAGTTCTTCCAGCAGCGTCTTCAGGACTAAGATCCGGAGTGGATGCGTCCTTTCCGCAGTTGGAGTCTGCTGCCAGGTCTGCGTCTGGTTCATCATGCTGGGAAGAACTGAGCCTGGTCCCGCGCTCAAAAAAACGAAGAAGTCCGTCTCCATGGCCAGGCACTGAAGCGTGTCTTCGTGTCGAAGAACGAGGCGGGTCAGTGCATTCAGGAGTGTTCTTGAATCTGGTGTGGATCCGTCCTGCATGTTCTGGATCTTCCCCTGCCCTTTTCTTCCTTTTCCTTTTCCCTGGCCCTTCGCGCCATTCGACATGGAAGACCTCGGGCGCTTTGCTGTCTGCTTGTCCTCGTCCACCTCCATCTTCACCCACTGATTCAGGGCCCCCCACATCTCTGAGATCTGGTTGCCCTCCATGTCCATGGTGAAGAATGGCAAGGAGGCTGGCTAGCTGAAGGAGCACTGGGCACTGTACTGCGGTTTGATGACAGTTGCAAACTGAACACTGTTGCTGCCTCTTTTGGTAGAAAGACAGAAACTTGTAAAACAGCCCCCCACGGTTTCCATGTTTTGCATGATTGTTCCAAAGATGTTGAAGCATGTCTCTGGGGTCAACCTGCCGTCCACATAAGCAGCACCAGGTGCTAAGGGCGGTGCAAAGTGTGCCATCTCCAAGAATTTCATCAAAAACTCCCGTGGCGAGGAGGCTGTCCAAGTGGGGGAAGTTCATGGCAATGGAGGGGCTGAGAACTTGTAGGTCCAGCTTCAGTGCATGTGCCAAGATGAGCTCATCGCTGGCATCCTTCAGTTTGTGCAGGTCATGGTGAACAAAGAGGGCCAGCTGCGTAAAGACCGTGCAAACATGAGGAGTCGCCGGAGGTCTCAGACAGGAGCAGCCAAGGTTCCGCAGAGCACTGTCAGTTTGAAGCCATTCAGCATACGTGGTTGCCATAGTCCAGGAGGTAGAGTGAGCCGAGCTGAGATGCTTCAGAAGAGAGGAGGAACTGGATGATTGATGGCCGCAAAGGCCACAGATGTAGCCCAACCTCCGAATCAGTGACTTGTAGGCAAGTAGATGATCAAACGTGCCCCCGTGAAGCCCCGAGATGACCACTGGGTGATGCCAAAGGAGAGAAGGAGCATCCGGAAGTGGTTCAGGACAATGACCTCCATCAATGTGATGCCGTAGTGCTGCAAGACAAAGGAAGGATGCCTCACAGTGTGCACATTGTGTCAGCCCAGGAACTTGATCCCTGGATGCAAGGAATGTCCTGGTCAGGGTAGAATGAGCATGCTCCATGGATTGATGTTGATGAAGTCCTGCTGCAGTCACAAATTTCCTGGGGCATTGAGCACAAGCAAATTGAGCATCCATCCTCTGCGGAGGTTGTGGGACTGGTGGTGGACATGCCGGAAATTGTTCACGGTGTTTCCGGTAGGCAAGGGCGAGTCCCAGTTGTTTCTTCACTGGACAGGTGTGCGTTTTCGATCGAAAGTCCTGTCCACAAAGTTCGCATGGTGAGTTGGTTCGGGCCCTGATCACATTGGGCAGAACCTCCCCCATCAGCGCATAGACATCTCCATGATCTCGACCCATGTGGGCAGACATTTGCTGCAGTCTCGAAGACCAAAAGCCACAAAGAATGCACCGTTGGGTCAGGAAATAGCAAAGGCCTCGATCATTGGCCAAGGGGGCCAGGTCACCATCGTCGTAGTACTCCAGGAGTTTATGCCGGTGTTGTTGAAGAACTGCTGGTGGTGCCTTGGTCGAGTCAAATTCCGAACAGGAGAAGGAGTGAATATGGTGTCGGAGGTTTTGCCAGCTAATGAAGGTTTCGCCACAATGCCGACAGGTAGGTTTCCCATCAACCGCATCTCTAGCTATGTCCAGCGTGGGACCCTCGGCATGTAGAATGCCATGAACATGCAACTCATGTCGCCGCAGTGTATATAAATGTTGAAAGGTCAGCCCACATTGCTGACAGTCAAGTCCTGCCTCCGCCAAGGGGAGCTTGGGTTGCATGTCCAGATCTCCAAGGTCCTGAAGCCAAGAGTCTGTAAGGTTGATGGAGCTTTGGAGTGTACTGAGGTCAAGAAGGTGGAGTATGTCATGCTCTTGAAGGGAGGAGAGTCTGTCCTCATGCCGCTTCAATTGAGAGGCCATCCGCTCCCGCAGGGAGAGCACCGGGTGGCGGAGTTGGTGCTCTGTCAAAAAGTCCAAGTGAGAAGTGTGTGTCATGAAGGAGTGGTCGCCTGCTGCCTGTCTAAGCATGGTCGTCATGGTCTTGGAGAACAGAGGAATTGAGGTGTGATCTGTTCCAGTTGCATCCAAGCCATACACTCCTATTGGAAAGATGCATGTTTGCCATAGAGCCACCTTCTGAGCCGAGTGCATGCCGTTGGTCGAGAACCACTTCTGCATTTGTCTGAAACGAACTTTGCATGCGTGAAGCCGAGCTTTCATGGTGTCCTTTTGAAAATTGTTGTATCCCATCTGAACTCCCAAGTATTCGTGCTTCTCTTTGATCGGTATTTCGTGTGAGCCCCCTGCTTCTTGTGGTATACAAAGGACTGTGTGGTCGAGCTTCTTTTTCACAAATTGCTGCCGGGCTTGTTTCTGTTGTTTGCCTCCCCATCTTAATATGACAGCAGATTTCTTCATATTCACGGTCATGCCCAGCTTTTCAAGGACAGAAATAACGGTGCCAAAGTGTTGTAGACCTTGATGAAGTTCTGCCATGGTCTGAAAAACAAAGCAGGCATGACCGTCATCTGCATAGAAGGTGCAGCATTCACGCATCCATTCTTCTGAGGATTCGTGTGCTATCAAGTTCAACACCAGTGCAATGAAGCTTGCCCAAAAAAAGGGGGCGCCCCGGCAGCCTTGCCTCACACCTCTGAAGGTGGATTGTTCGGCAGAAAGTCCTTTCCATTGAATCACATATGAGGTCTGTGTATGCCATGTCATCAGGAGAGAGATGAGATCATGAGGTAGACCAATGAGTGTGAAAGCTGAGTAAAGGTGCTCACGAGGCATGGCATCAAAGGCTCCGGTGAGATCAAGAAAGAGCTGACATCCTCCAAACACTTGAGGACGTGTTGTCCTCTCACCTGCCCTCTGATTGGCGTCATATCGCCATCGATGATGAAGAGCTTGGACCTTCCGAACGTGTGCTTGAACCCGTGTGATTGCTTCCCATGTGCCTCGTCCCGGAAGGTATGCAAACTGTGGATACCAGGTCAGGGTTGGCAGTGAAAACTTCCTTGCCTCATGAACAAAAAGAGACATGATCGTCTTGGAGAGCGGAGTCTGAAGAGCAATCGGACGAAGCACTTTCGGTTCAACCGGGTGTTTGTTCGGTTTGGGAAGAAGAACAACCCAGCCTTTCCGCCATTCTTGTGGAATGAGCCCCCATAACATCCACTGTTGCACCCATCCAAAGACGAGAGACCCAATGGAGGTTGCCAGCGCCTTCCAAACGAAGCTAGGAGCCACATGAGGCGGAACACTGGTGCGTCCATAGAGCGCATGAAGTCCTTGGATCAGGTCCGGTGCCTCAAAGGGGAGAACAGCCAGATGAAAGTGTTGAGCTGGGAGATCAACTCCTGCATAGAGGTTTGCCATGTACTCTTGGATCCAGCTCAGTTCCTCTTCCGGTGACATAAGCTGACCAGCATGCCGTCGGAGATGAGGTCGAGGTGGCCGTGTTTTTGGTGTGAGAGAGTTCACCACCTTGAAGTATTTGTGGGAGTCATTGTTGCTCCAGTGTCGCCTGGCCTGTGCAATGGTCTGGGCCAGCTTGTCTTTCTTGGCTTCCCTGGCTTTTTGGTTCGTGGATCTTTTCCAGGATTGAATTCGAACCACTTTGACCCATTTGCCAAAGAGCTGTTGAAGACGACTTGAGTAGATAGTCCTCTTAGCCACTTCCGGAAGAGCAAGTCCTGGATGTCCATTGGCCCAGGTCCAGAAGGTTGGTGATGGTCGTTCTGGCTCCAACACAGGTGGTTTGAAGTTCTGGCAGCCAGCAAGGAGGACCTGATTGAGAGCCTCCAAGTCTGGTGTATCGTCTCTGAGTCCAGTGATGGCCTCTTCCAAGGAGGTGCAGAGCCCTTGCCACTCTGCACTGTTCGAGTCCCAGTGCCGAAGGAGGAGTTCTTGTTGTCCACGAGGAAGACCAACCGGCTTGTGGCTCCAGGCCCTCCATTTGTAGGGAACGGTGAAGAGAATGGGCACATGATCCTTGGTGTGTCCAAAGCGAGCAGGCAGGTCCTCCAGGTAAATGGGCTTCTTGGTAAATGAGTCGCTGGACTTGTGTCGTACCATGATGTAGTCGATCCGGGATTGCCGAGCCAGACCACCAATGTAGGTGGGCCCTAGAGAAGGGTCCCAAGTGTTGATGGCAGTGAGCCCATGCTGTGTGAGGAGATGACCCAGCTTCCCGGAGTCAGGATGACGTGGTCCAGCCTTCCTTCCCTTCTGGTCTTGAAAGTCCTGGAGTCCCACACAATGTGGAATGTGGGGAAGGCTGGTGTTGAGATCTCCCCCCAAGATGATCACATTCCGTTGGGGAAGTCCAGCAACCAGTTGATCACAGGCATGAAGGAGTTCCCCTCGATGTTGAAGACATAGAGGATCATGCTGAATCCATGCGTGTTGATATATGTTGAGAAGGTCAATCCCCGAGGAGGGAAGATAAAGTCGAACGTGGAGAAGCCGTCCTGGAAGAGTCTCTCGCCAGGAGATGCGGTCAATGGGGCAGAAGTTTTTCCGGATGATCACCATCAAACCGCCGGTTTTCCCTTTGGAGCCGCTGTGGATATAGGCGAAGTGAGAGTCCTGCCAATCACCGCTGAACCCCCACCGAGTGTCCTGGAGAAATAGAACATCTAGGTGTTGGGAGCACATCCACTGCCTCAGAATGTCAAACTTGAAGGAGCTCAAGGAGCAGATGTTCCAGCTGAAGCCTGTGAGGCGGTTTTTCCTGACTTTTGCCGGAGGGGCCACATTGAGCTTCTGCCTGGTGTGTTGACCTGGGTCGGCCAGGGGTGCGTGAAGTTGTTCAGTACCAAGCATGGCTGCCGTGAAAAGCTGACCTTTATACCAGGTGTGTCCATGAAGTTGAGCTCGTTTGAGTGCACGAATATAGGCCTTCTTTTTGTGTTGAGGTTTTTCCGATGCCAGGTGTATTGATTTAGGTCCTGTGCCACTTGGCTTTGCCATAGAAAGGGTATCGAAGTCCCGAGATTGGATGGCTTCACTGGGTCGCGTGGCTGACCCAGAACCCTCAGGCCACCAGGGTGGTGCATTGGGGTTTAAGGCACTCTCTTGGTTCACGATGAAGGCCATGATGAGGCCTGCAGCACAATGTACCAGGAGGCCAGGTCCCACCCTGGCCGGGGACTTGGGACCCCGGTGAGCTTTACTGCTCGGTGCAGCGGGTGGTCGTCTCCTCTGTGGCCTGGTCCGTTGCCAGGTGCAGGTAGAGCGGAGGTGGTAGTAGACCTTCTGCCGAAAGAGCCAGAAGAGGGAGACAGCCACCGCCACAAAGGACAGGAAGTAGAACCGGAACAGGTAGAGGCCGACCACCTTGAAGTAGGGATCAGAATCTCGGTGTTCCTGAGGATGTTGGGCAAAGTCCCGGTTGCCGAGGAGGTCAAGCAACAAGGTGATCACCTTTGGGTTGCCCATGGAGCAAGTCACGGTTCCGCACTGTCCCCGCGGCACCGAGGGCGATGGGGATTGAGCCGCTCATGGCCCTTATCATCATCATCATCATCATCATCATACAGGTGCAGAGATGCAGGTGATGCACCTGCTCAACACACCTGCATAGATCCGGGAGCTACAGGTGAAGACCACCCATCACATAAAATCACAATTCACCTAGACAACTACTTAAGGCGACGAGGTGGCCCGGCAACAGGAAACTCGACCTTTAGGAGATGGTGCGCGTGCCCGCGCTCGTCCGCGTGGTCCGAACTGCGGTCCCGAACTGCGTCGAGCGCTCGGTCGATCCGTGATTGATTGGATGACCAGCGGCGTCTTGGGTTGCCTTTTTGATCCTTTTTGTATGGTTTTTGGATTCCTCACCCAGCTATGCGAAGGTCGAGGAATATGCCGACAAGATGAGACGCGAAGGATTGGGAGAAGATTTTGAAGGCCGACCTGCGAATTGTTGGTTCTTGGTAATTAACGCTGCGATCAGAGTTTGGCTAGTTTCAACACATTCCACGTAGTAACAAGTCATGGGCATGTAATAGGGCCCACTGAATGGGGTTCTCATTGAGGTTTGTCACTGACACTCGCGGCAGGCTGCTTTCAGAAGCTAGAAGGGGAGTATGCCATCAACAGCGCGTGGAACAATACGGATGACTTCGAAACCAAAGCCGATCGTGTCCTTTTGAGCTACCAAGGGGCCAGAGAATTCTTGGAACCGGCCCGACGTTGGGAAGACATGGGGGAACTCCGAGACATTTTTAGGCAAAAACTGGGGAGATCACCAGAAAAAGTTATCCATGATGACATTTGTGGCACCCCCTTTGTGTGGCAGGGCTCAGCTTTGACCTCCGATTTTGTGAAGGTTTTTGCGGCAGACTTACACAGAAAAAGGCAGGGGTCGAAAAATGCTCTGGAGTTCTACGAACTACTCGAAGAAAGATTGGACGGTTTTTCCGAAGCGTTTCGCGCCAAAGTTTGCAAAGATGGAGCCAAAACATTCATCCATCGCCATGAGCTGGACAATGCAAGCTTCTCAGTTGCACTCGCCAAGGCCTTTGGTCCAATCCACCTGTGGAACAAAACAACATTTCTGAGATACAAACCCAGGGTCTTGGAAGACTGAGAAGCCGCTGCTCTCCACTTATGGCTTCGAAGCACGCCCTCCAACCCCCGACCAGTGCACCTGTAGGGGCTCTGGGGGGGGGTGCGATTTTATGTGGTGTGAAATGGCCACAGACTTTCGCCCCACCAGCCGCATCAACCGGTCAATGCATGTGGGGCCGCAGTGGGGCCGCTGGCAAAGCCATGGGGGTTCCCAGGATTTTCCAGGATGTGGCTGGCTCCGTGGGCCGTGGGCAAGTCGTTTTTTTATTACTTTTGCCCTTCTTTTTAAATAGTTAAAACGGAGCGGAGACGCGAAGAATCAGGAGGAAAAGACCAGTCCCTGCTCTGTCTTTTTGTGGCCGATGGGTCGGGTCCAAAGCCCGACGGGTCGGCAGACAAAGGCGATGGACGAGGAAGATCAGCAGGCCCATGGTCGGGCACCTCGTAGGGCGTTCAAATGCAACAAGACCACAGCGTAGGCTGAGCTCCACATCCGAGGATGGGGAGCCACGTTCCCCGAGCACCGGCAGGTGCCCGTAGGTTGCCCTGCTGCAGCATTCAAAGAACAAAGACAAAAGGGACTTTTAAAGGAGATCAATGTACACTCCAATCCATCAAATCCAGTAAGCAGCAGCCAGAGGAAGCGCACCTCGTTAGCCATGTAAAGAGCAGCACAAGAAACCATACAAGACATAGCGCACCAACACATCAGCATAGCGGCCACCATGAAGACTACGGCAATGACGAGTATCAAGACCACGTGGTGAAGTGATTGCGCTCCTTGCTAGCATCCAAGCAAGCCCCCACTCCAAGGCTTACCCAGTCGTTACTGCTCTGAAGAGCACCTAGCACAACCACAGTTAAGGTCGCCTCGACGGCCAAGGAGAGGTCGTCATGGAAGTACTGTCACTGTCGGTCGTGTACCAGTAACGGTTAACCACAAAGAGGTCCAAGAACTCGTTGTTCCATAAAAAGGGGCAAGCGATGCAGAGAAGCACATCCACACAGACACAAATACAAAGATGACGTAGAGGTGCCGGAACGCAGTCCTCCGAAGGACCCTGAGTATATGCACGACAAAACTGGAAACAGGGTAAGAATTGTATGCCAGGATCGTAGCAAAGGTCAATGAGCTCACCCCGCGAAACATGCTCACCAACCTGGAAAAGCCACCGCTTAGTCGCGTGAGATTGCCTCGGCGGCGTCGTAAGGAGATAGCTCACACCAGCCCGTAGAGGCCGGCCATGTGGTTTCTGGGATCTTTGTGGCGAATGACCTTCCAAGAGAGAGGTGACCTGATAAAGGACCCCGTCACCTGGGGTACCCAACTGCGATATAGTCAGTGACATCCATCGAAGCACGTCTTTAATGTGGCTCGTGTGCATAGAATCGCGCCCCATGATGAACACCTTTTGGCATCAGAGACTTCATGAGACTTCGATGATTGGACTGCTGATTAGCATGGACTTCGAGACCTCGGTGATTGAGACCGATCTCATGGAGATCACCCGTTACACGCCGTTCATAGGAATGGAGATCGGTACACCCCCACACGCCGTTCATAGGACTCTGCTGTTCCCCACACGCCCATTCGAACCCGTCGCATCTTCTGTCCACGTCGCTCCTCCGCCATGGCGACGCTGCCCGCGCTGGAGCTCCACGACCCGCAGCTGGCGCCAAAGCTCTTGGCCGCCATCGCGGACGACGGGCCAGGTGCGAAGGGGCGGCTCGTATGCGCTCGTCTCATCGAGCTGGGAGCGCCCGACACGATGGCCAGGGCGGCCCTCCCAAAACGCACCACTTGTTCTGAACATCTAAGAGTCTTTGAAAAGGTTGGAGTTGGGAGGCGTTTGGGCCTGGAACTGCCTCGTCGTCGTTGCTTTTGTTGGGCGTAGGTTTCTTCTACCTGAAGTTCCCTTCCGTGGACGCCTTGGACTTGGCCGAGCGGACGCTGGAGCTCTCGCGGCGCTTCTTCCAATTGCCCAGCTGCGACAAGGCGCCCATCGTCGTTCAGACGGACGAGCCGAGCGCTGATCCGTGCCCATGGGGTGGTCGGATCGGTCCCGCACCGGAGCGCGGCTCCGGTTCGGGACGCCACGCGTGAGCGCGCGGCCAGGTGCTCTTGAAGAACGATGAAGAGTCGTGCTATTGGGTGGAGGAGAGGGGAGCGATCCAGAAGGAATAGGGAGGGAGTGAGTGAGTCAGTCAGTGAGTGAGCGAGCGAGCGAGTGAGTGAGTGAGTGAGTCAGTGAGTGAGTGAGCGAGGGAGCGAGCGACCCAGGGAGTGAGCGTCAAAGCAAGAAGTGATGTCTGCAAGTATACTGGCAACACCCTCCACCCTGGTAGCGATGGCCTCCAACCTACAAGCGATGGCCTCCCACCGGCCCCAAGCAATGGAACCATATGGAACCTACTAGCGATGGTCCACCCTAAGGTAGCGATGGCCTCCCCCCTTCTTAAGGGATCATCCTCCTAACTTCCATCATCACATGACATCTCCTCCCAGGAGCCCGGTGCCGCGCCGGTGTGCATCCCCTCCACCGGCCCCGGCTACCGCGGCGTCAGCGGCGACTGCAACTTCGCCGGCGACCGCCGCGAGTCCTTCAACCTGGGCCGCGCCGGTGGAAGTTCGGCCAGTCCGGAGGGTGCCATTCGGTGCGGTATGGGTGAGAACCTCTGGCCCGAGATGGGTGGATGGTGTGAAGACTTTAGGAGGTGGGATGGCAGAAAAAGAGGAACAGGGGATTGAGTGGCATACAGCATAGTTACGCAGATTTGGTATATTTAGTTTACCCGTTTTCGCCTCCGCTGCACGCTGCGCCTGTTTTTCTTCTCCCGCCTCTCCTTGGCAGGTTTCCCCACTTAGACCCATCAGGGGCCCTCCAGGAGCAGCGAGGCCTACTTCGAGCTTTGCTTCGCCACGGCGACCGCGCTGCGCCGGGCACTGGCCCGGCCCGAGTGCCTGGGGCCATATCTCAGCGCCGGTGCGGCGGAGGAGGCCTTTGAGCGTTCGACGAGCTTGCATCTCGGAGGTGAGAGAGAGGAGCGACAGGACCGGGAGGGAAAGGGATGTTGTTTTTAGATCCCCGTTGACATTTCCTTTGCAGAATGGGGTAGCTTGAGGCCATTACAGGATGTCGTTAAGTGTGTTTTCTTCCAAACGCCCCTCTGGCGTTTGGAAAGCAGCCGATGGAGTCCTGCCTGTTTTTGGGAGTAGGATTTCATAGGATTTCCATTGCAAGCTTGGTTGGGTGGGTAGGATTTGGTGGATGGAAGGTGGATGGATGTGGATGGGAATGCCTCATGAGAGAAGTCATGAAGGCTTTTAACGTTGGCGGTTGATGTGTCCATATCCTGTAGTTGGTGGGCCCTCTTCATGAACACACTATGTACTATATATCTGGTCATTGCTTCATTCTCTTGCGCCAGGGCGTCGAAAATCAGTGAAGACCGAGCGCCGTCAGGCTTGGCTTCACCCACTACAACTACGAAGACTTCAGACCCGAGAGCGGCTACGCCGCGCCCGGCGATGGCGCGCTGGAAGAAACGCAGGTCTTTGGGATCCGCCCACATCAGGAGTGCCGAAAGAGATGGCCGAAAGAGATGGCTGACCTGTATAGAGATGCAAAGTCAGTCGTTGGAGATGGTCAGGTCATACAACACCAGTACTTAAGCAGGTCAAAGACTATAGACCGGTTTTACTGACCAGCAGCCCTTCAAGTCCAAGTCCAGGACGATGGCCTGTGCACCTTGTTGTACACAGACGGCCAGCCGGGCCTCGAGTACGCCAAGGGCCGCACCGACTCCGCAAGGTCCCGTACAACGACGGAACCGCTGTTCTCGGGGGAGTTCTGCCGCACGGACGCGCAGTTCTCGGAGGAGATTTTGTGGGAACCCGCAGCTCGGCGATGGGGCGGGGGCCGCGTGGGGGCGCGACACGGGAGGGTGGGCGGAGGGCGCAATTGAAGCACCTGGAGATTTGGAGGCGGCACATGCCAGTTCGCAGGAAATGCATGGAAATGCTATGTTGATTTGCCAAAAATCCGGCTCGTGTATGATGCAGAAACAGCTAAGCAGATTTTTTGCATCACTGGCATTTGATTTGTCTACTTTTGCACTGATGGACTTGGAGTCGCTGTGAGCCTCTGTGAGGCACCTGGAGACAAACCTACTGATGGAGACTCAAGATCTTAGGAGTGTTTCTTCACCTCCAAAGCTGGGACGAATGTCTCTTCAGCTTCGATGATTGCCAAGACCAAGTGTGAGATCTGCCAAGCGGTACATCCGATTGGTGGTCCGTTGACCAGTGCCATATGACGTGACATTATGTGGCACCAAGAAGGACAAGGGTAAGGACAAGTCTGGGAGTTACCTCCTTCTTCTTCTTCTTCTTCTTCTTCATCCAACGGTTTGCAAAGCCGCACGCATGCCCCCTCCCGCAAGCAGGCAACAAGAACAGAAACGCAAAAGTAAAGAATCCAGCTGGAACAAGCAGGCAACACACCCTGAGCCTGACAAGTCCCAAAAGATCAGCCCTGCTTGGAAGTCAGTCCACAATGGATCGATGGGTTTCTTTGCACATGTTTACACTCCCGACAACTAACATGGAAGTGGAAAACCACCTGTTTGTAGTGGAAAATAGTCTTCCAAGGGGCCATTCTCCACTTCCATGTTAGTCTTCCAGGGTGTAGATTTCCTCATGGCACAACCCAAGATCTTCGCATACACACCACCCGCCTGTCCGACCCAAACCCCTCGAAGGGGGCGGCTATGGGCGGCGCACTCACCTGCTTTCAGGTTCCCTTCCTGCCGGGCTACTGGATTGTCAACCTGGGCACGGATCTCTACCGCTGGGCCCAGCAGAGCTCTTTGGCAGCTCCGGGACGTGTGAGGAAGTGCAAGGCTACACTCCACCGCGTGGTGCCGCGCGCGAGGAGTGTGTGGGGTGGCGCTGGAGGGGGGGTTAAGTTAAGTGGCACCGTTTTTCTCAATAGGATGCGTAGATCAAGTGGCATGGCATGGCATAAAGCCGGTTTGTAGATTTTGTTCATGTGCTGTCATGTTATCCACCTCGGCTTTGGGTTTCTTTTTGGATCCAGAGGAGACGGGGAGACTGGCTCCGCTTGGGGGCAAGACAACGATTCCGCATTTGGCCACTATCATTTGACACCACGAGGCGTAGACTCGGCATTCCATGAGTCTCCCCAGTGCATCCACCACCTTCTGTAGACATTCCAGGACCAAAGAGCGCTACTCCATGCCCTTCTTCTACGAGCCCAACCTGGACGCACAGGACCCCTGCGAGCCCTTCAAGAAGAGGCGCCGAGGTTCAACGGACGCTTACCTTGGGGGGCCTCACCTGGCGGAGATTCCCAGAGGAGATTTGGGGTTGATATATATTATATATTATACGTGTGTGTATATTTAGGACCGACTGCTACTCTTTGGTTCTGATAGGAAGTTTGAGGACCCCGTTGGCTTCTCGGCTTCTCGGGCCCTAAAACGGTTCGTTTCGATATGATGAGTTTGGGAGTAGAAGATCGTAGACTGTAGGGTGCCTCATCGCTTTGGATTCTTTCTCATTCACAGGACCACCAGTGATGGTTGATGTCCAAGATCGTGACCAATCATTGTTCGGCTTTTTTATTGAATTATGTGTAGGTCGGTGTGCTCAACAGAAGCAACCACTTGTTTTCAATGATTTACTAGGACCTTCCAGCAGGTGGCTTTTGGACACCCCGAATCACCTCTAAGAGGCTATTTATAGACACGGTACATGTTTGTGTTGGATGCTTAGCAGAGCATGCTTGGGGTGGTCAGCTGGGTGAATTCCCAACTTCGAGCCCAGGTATCAGTACTTGATTGCAGATGCCGACCAGTCGCACCCGACAGGCGCTTCGCCGAAAAAAGCGACTCTTCAAATGCACGGTTGTGTCGGTTGCGGAAGTCACTGCACATCGTGGGGGAAGCGGGTTGGATAGTGTTGGATGGTGTCTACGCCTTTTTGTGGCCAAAGGGGAGTTGAGAGCTTCCCTGCCAAGCTGAAGTTCGAGTTTGGGCCGGCATTGAGTTTTACTGGGCAGATCCACAAGCGACCATGACTTTCACCAAGGGAGTCTTGTTTAAAAAACTGGACTGGACCTCTTCAATACCAATTCCAAATCCATCCGAGAGAAGTTTGATGTTTAATATGTTTGCTACTACTTTGCTACTGGGGCATCTAGGTTTGTCAGTGGTACTGCTTGAGGTGCTAGTTTGTGCATTCGCGCTCAACCGATGACCTGGGGCCTCAAGAGATCCAAGATACAGCTCCTGATCAGAGATCCGTGTCTGAGCGTACGAGGAAGACTGATTGGTGCGTTTTGTGGATTTTTTGTTAATCACGAGGCTCCCACTCGCTCTTTTATTCAATAGATAGATCGCTTAGTCTACACGTCTATGAAGTGCTATCGTGCACCTACCGAATCCGAAGAGGAATTGACGTTGGAGGAGCTGCTGCCCTCAGAAAAAGGTCCAAGAATAGTTCCACAGGACAAATGAATTTAAACCTGCACAGGGGCAGCAACGCCTCTGCTCAGTTTCGTTTTTGTTGAGGTATGGTGAGGTTAGGTTACCTTTCATGGAACCTTGGTATACGTCACAGAGCAACTAAGATTAGGCCCAGTGGATTCCGGATAGAATTTTATTAGAAGTCCAAAGACAATACTGTACTTTTCCATAGTGAAGTAAAGGAAATTCCCTTTCAGGTACCCTAGCAGTCAGACCATTCTTTGTATAGTCTTGGACTCCCAGATGCCACTTCATCTTCTTGACGGGCAGTCGACACACTCAGACGCCCTGACCAAGTTCTTCTTGCTTTTGCAGGGTGTCGTATGGGCCGACGCCTCCTGCAGCTTTGAAACAAGAGGAATCAAGCATAGACATCCATACAAGCCGCATCTCCGACTCCAACAAGCCGAAGACGAAGGAACGCAGAAAGAGCAACTCCACAGACGTCAATCCCACCGATTTTCACGTGCGATCCCTGCTTCACTGGTTTCGGGGGAAGTGTGCAGCTCCATCCAACATCATCCCATTGTGCTGTTGTTTCTGAACTGCCTTTCCAGTGAAATCACCGCCAACATGCCATCATAGCACGTCGTTTCCCCCCCTTTTCCGCGGGTGGACGGACTTCCGGGTGGAAGACAGTGGTGGTCCGCACCGGTTCATGACATGCTGTTCACCGCTGCGGAAGTGGCGCGGCATAACCAGCCGAACGACCTTTGGGCCTCTTGGCGTGTGTGATGAGCTCGGCGGTCGGGCGCGTGAGGGACGAGGTGCCCCAACCCCATGGCATCCCACTCGCCACTCATTGCGGCCGTCCGGATGGGTTAGAACAGGTTGTATAGCCCTAGGGCTCCAGTGGTACTCGTACCTTCGTTTCAAAGGTGTTTGAGGTGGGTTTGGAGTCTGGAGTGTCCAAATACCTTGGAGCCCTAACGATCATCACCATTTTTGAGGGATTTGCGTTTGGTCCTTTTCTTGACTCGTGATCATTGACATGTGTCATATGCAAGCTATGCATATATCTAGCAGTATCGCATGCAGGAACAAACGAGAATGAATCCCCGTGCCCCTCCAAGTTGGGTGTATGAGAAACCGCAGGCTTTTCCGAGAACCTCGTCACCCCCAAAAAAAACATCCCTTTCCGATGCGGCACACGCGCTGAAACACGGGGGTCCGCGATGGGGTCCTCACACCGAACGAACAGCGACCACAGGCGACCCCAAACGCCCGACGATGGACGGGAAGCCGTCAGGACCAGATGGATCCAGTCGACCGGGCCCAGGTCTGGGGGGGTCTGAGACTCGTTTTGATCTCGTTGTAGGGGTCGGAGTCACATGGGTGTTGGGAACCGATTCGTTCGGTCTATGGGATGGATCCGTTGATGCCAGATGGCATCCCAAGTTGAGCATGATGACGTGCAGTTGCTGGTGGAAGAGTACACATGTTGGAAGATCCCAAAAGAAGCCCAAGGTCATGCGAAGGACAACCTGTTTTACCAATCTGCACTTTGCTCCGCGTGTTTTTGTGCGACGTCGCGCCCAGGTGATTGTGGACAAGAAGGTGCGACGCCCAGGGGTCCGATGTGAGACGCGGTGGGTTTTGTGTCGACGAGAAGTTTGAGGAATACGACCCCATGTCGACAGTGTCTACTTTCCAAACCGAGTTGTTGACGTGGTTGGATTCCTGTCGAAACGTCACTGGTGTTGATATTGATGTTTCATTCCATGGCAGAGTCCCATCCCACTCATCAATATCATCAATGCACCCACTCCTTTAAGGGCAAACTATGACAGTGACCGATCACACTTCTTGGCTTCTTGGACGCTGTGAAGATTTATATATGCTTTGTGGCAGAGAAATGTTGAATAAAACAACGTGCAGCATGGCTGTTCTCGTCCTCAGACTGCATTCACCTGGTTTTGGGAGCGTGGGAGAGCACTGCAACTCGTAGCTCCAAAACCCTTCAAACACCTCAAAAACGTCAAGCGCATCTCCCTTGGGGACACCTGTTCTCTTTCTTTGTGGCTAGTGGGAGAGCACTACCATCGTTCCTCGCGCCGACGGCACCTCGGTAGGCTGATTGATATGACCTGGCACTGGCTTTGACCAACTGTGTGGCGTTTTAGACTCGACCGGACCTGCTGCCTGGAGGTCTATGACATCACCAACTGGCATGCTTTTCATCCTGGCGGGTCATCCCTCCTCTTGAAATACGGCGGCAAAGATGCCACCGAAGCCAGCTTCTCGATGGCATTCATTTTATTTTCTTGTGCTTCTTTGGGTGGAGATCTGAGCGCCAAACATCGTCACAATCATCCTCATCACCTCATCCTCGTCGTCGTCATCGTCGTGGCCCGGTGGAAGCGAGTTATCGACCGATCCAGCCGGAGGTTTCGGGGCGAGAGGCCACGGGGGGGAGACCCGATGGGCGACATGCACAGCCACATGGGTCAGAAGGTAGACTCTTGAGAAGATGCTTCAAGCCCCTTTTTTTAGGCCTGAAGAGGTTTACAATCCATTTCTTGGGTGGTTTATGTGGTATATAAATGTATATAATTTCTATTATAACAATTATATAATTGTTAGTCACGAGTCTGAGTCTACATCAATATCATTCATGTGGATTGATATAGGGGGTGCAACGAGAAGAAGAAATCCAATGTGGATGACACATCGCGGCCAATTTGAGGTGGAGTCAGCTGTCAACACACTTGCTTTTTGCTTCTTGAGCCTCAAACCTCGAGTTCATCGCAATATCCCACAACAACGTTTTGAAACGGCCTTACAAAAGGCCGTGCTGCACAGCCAAGGTCATGATGCGCATAGCCTTCTAAAGCCACTTGGTCGGACGGTACTCTGGATCTTGCCGGGGGCGGTCCGGACGTGCCGGACCGTTCCGGGTGGGTGGGTAGCTCCAGGTCGGACAGCGTCCATGTCGCACCATGAGGGTCGGAAGCCTCGTTTAAGCCTCGTTTCCTCAAAAGGTAGGCCGATGACATCCGATGAGTGGTTCAAGACAGATGACCCAGTGCGGCAGACATGGCGGCGCCAACCATGGTGGCTCTGTAGCTTGGCTGTCGCAGCCGTGAGAAACGAAGCTGCCCGGCCACGGCACGGTAAGGAGAAGGATTTGAAGGTGTTCTATCACTCGCACGGTGCCAGCAACATCACAAAATCTCCATCATTTCCCGTGATCTTGTTAGTTGCTTGACTCTCTTGCTACGCCCCACGTGTGCAGCTGGTCCAGCTGCTACAAACCCCAACCTTTTTAGCGCTTCCCCTTTCTTTCTTTCGGTGGGGAATGTAATGTTTTTCCCTTTTTAGACCATCCGTCGATGGAGAACGCTCCGCTCCGGGTCTCCTGGCCGCCGCCGGGTTCGCCTGTTCCGTCCGCCTCAGGAAGCCCATGAGCATCATGTGGGGGAATCCCAGAGACCTGGAGCGCGTGGGTTTTGGGAGGGACATCAATGGACATGGACTAATTAGACCATAAAAAATAAAGGTGGATGCCTGAAGCAGTATGTACATGATTGAATTTCATTGCAGTACCGTCGTACGTTAGTTCTAGTATATAGCTGATTCCGATGATGCAGATCTTGTACATTGGAACCGTTCTAGTAGCTGGTCTCTATTTCATAGTGTAGGCTATAGAGTTTATGTTGGCACTTGGCTTGCTTGGGTTACACTGCTTGCTTGCGTTCTTTTCCAGAATCCTCACTCCCAGACGCTCCATGGGACTGTCATATATGCCGCCCCATTGACCCCTCAATCCACCCCGATGTATGGATTCATGTGCCATATGCCAATGGAGTGTTTGAGACGCGACCCGATCGAGCCATCTGCGACGGTTTGGGGGGGGGTTTGGGGGGTGTTTTAGCATCGAGCAGTGCGGCACCTTTTGGAGAGAGACTCTATTCTTTTTTGCGGGTTAGCATTGCAGTCAGCATCCCACCTAGAGTCTAGAGCATACACGTTTTTGTTTGGTGTCTTTTTTTGTGTCTTCCCCAGTCTATTGAGTCTTATTGCATGGTTTGCCTTTTTGCTTCCTACCCTTGTCCGTTGTAATGTTGGCTGTTGGTGAATGAAAACCACTCCCAATGACTCCCCCTAGACTCCGGTGGCTGCTTCGCTCCTTTCGCAGGCTTGGGTAAAAACGTAGGCACCTGGGCACCTGCAGGGGGAACAAACCTTTGGCACCATGGCATGGTACCTTGGCATGGTCGTCCCCCTGACCGCCTGGGTCGCCCAGGCCCCGGTACTTCATCGGCATGCTGGGCAGTGACGTGGGCTCAAGGGCGGACGTTTTTCGCAGAGGTTGAAGGCGGGTGATGGGCTCAAGACTTAGGGACTAAGAGCACCTATAGGTTGAGTATATGGGTTGAGTCGGATGGATTCAGACCATGACTTGGGCGCTCTGCAGCTTTTGATGTTCGAGTTGCTTGCTTCCATCTTGCAAATGACTCGGCATGACCCATCCAGACGAGCCCTCCGAACATCCCCGGTGACGGACGACGGACGCCGTCACCAGGCGAGCCCGGTACTCGTTGACGTGCTCGGACGTCGCATGCGCCGGCGCATGCGTGCTCGGACGCCACGAGAAGTTACGAACAGAGCCCAGTGAGGTAATCCTTTCCCCACAGAATTGGAGCAAGCCATGGATTTTGGGGGTGAGCAAATGGTGAACATGAGGGTTTCCGGCAGATTTTTCCCTGAAACATTCTGAAACCAATTCATGGAGCTTCTCTCCCCCACGATGTTAAAGTTGGAAGCCTCCTCCAGAATCTCCAGCAGCCTGCGGAATCACCACTCCTGGGTTAAATTGGTATGCAGCCAATTTCTCCTTGCAACATCTTGCAACTATGCTTTCCTATCAGGATACCCCATGGGGAGAGCTGTACTGCTGTACTAGTACTTATATCAGAAGGAGCCCGGCAGCTTGTTGCGGCAGCTTCTTGGGTGAAGGCGTGGGTTAAGTCGTATGGACCTGGCACCAATGTCAATGGACCCGTCGGGCTTCGGTGATGGTCCAACGGACACGGCCAGAGCAGACACAGTGGGCTCCGCACCCGACACGCCCCAGCCCCACCTTGGATGTTTAGGTGGGACCCACCTTGGTCTGAGGTGAAGAGGAGGTGAAGGCCGAGGAGGAACGACAAGTTCGAGAACTCTTGGTGGCCTCCGCGAAGAAGGCCGCCCTATGCCGCCCATTCCGTGGAGAGTCCGGAGTCCGTGTGGTCCGTGTGGCGAGTCCGGAGGGTCGACCAGTCGGGCAGTAGTTGGTTTTTTAGAATAGATTTGCAATTAGTTTCATGACATGGATGGTAGGGGAGAAGAGGAATAATGTCTGGTTTTGGGATGTTTTTTGGATTGCTCATGGTGATGAAAGCAGCTTGCATGAACTTGTATGCATCTCGACTTGGCACATGGTGGGGTACATACACTACACCTCTATGTGGGCCTGGCCGACCTGGCCTGTGCCCGCGCAAACTTTGTCTCCAGCCATCAGCTCACAGTACCTCCATTCAACCAAGCCAAGAAGTTCAAAGGCCCTGCACTGGTGGCTGGTGACCTCGATGTCACCTCCATTCAGACTTGTCGTTGGGATGCAATGTTTCGGTCCAGTGACGCAGTGCAGTCGACCCATCGGATGACCCAGGTAGATCTATCATGGTTGTATCCATCGATCATCACTTGAATCACTTCATTTGAACATATCGTGTTGGATACCATGTTGGATATATAATGATATATATATATATATTTTTTTTTGCTTCATGTTGGACGATACCAAAGCCAAAGCTTTCGAAGGTGATATGGATCTTGCTTCGCCAAAGCTTCGAATTCACCATCCACCGGCCCCGCGGAGGCGAAGGACGCCGGCGCGATCTCGACTTCGCCGGTGAAGGTGCCAAAGACCGCGGTGGAGAGCCCGGTGGTAGAGGCCGGCGAGCAAAGAACACCACTGGCAGTGTGGATGGGGCGTTGATGTTTGTTTAAAGTTATGAGTTATGATCTAATCCTGAGCCAAAAGCGACGATTTAGGTTGTAGTTATAGTTGATGTCGGTTTTTAACATGTTTTTTACAGTTGATTTCTGGTTGTATATTTGAAGTCAAAGCCAAACATGTTGGAGTACACGACCAGCTATATAAGTGCCAGAAAGAACCCATCGCACGGAGAAGTCCCAGAGCCTATGTGGCTTTAGTCCGAGAGGCTACTTCTCCCATACCCAAAAGATCCCAAAAGTAAAAGTCACCCAAATTCCAAGTTCTTGAGGTGAGTTGTGTCTATAGCCAAAGGAAATCGGTTTGCGTGCCCCCATGCCAGGCGTGCTTTGGGGAAAGGACATGGAAAGTACAACACATCTAAAAAGACCTCCTCAGGTTCGGCATGACTGGACCCTCCTGGGCCCAGTCCCACCGAAACGAAACGATACAGTGCGACTGGAGCCCTATAGGGTCATGCAGCAAACCTCCCCACAGGCCGGAAGACTCGGCAGACGCAGGCGAAGGCACCCACCCCAGCGGACGTTGCATCGGTTCCACAGCCGAAGGCAGAGGGAGCCGTGGAGCAGAGGAGTTTGGGGGCATCGGTGCGTGGTTTTGAAGATCACATGAATTCGTGGAAAAGAGATATGAACAGGTTGTCACAAGAAGTGTCACAAGATATATATTATATACCAGCACCCTCCAACAGGTCTCCTCTGGAGGCTTTTGCTGACTTAAAAGTCGCAGGTGGTGACCTGTTGGAGGTGCTGGTATATATAATACATAATATATATATATATATTATATACATACACACTTTACAAGATGCACATTACACATCGGCTTCCAAGAGCCCATTTGTGACAACAGGTCTCCAGAAATTGGAATCTATTAATATGTGCATATATTATGTAACATTGTTCGACCCTGTATCCACCAAAACGACCTGGGCAAACCACTAGTGGTGCACCCGTCGCCCCAGATGACACCGAAAAAAGAAGCGTATCCGCCGGCGGTATCTGCTTATCCACGTGTCAGGCGAAGAGGGACTCCAACTATGCCAAGGCGAGGAGGGCTTTCTGCGGTGCTTTTGCGTTCTGTCCCATGGGGAGGTGGTTCTTCGTTGTGCTCCTTCTTTTTTTGGGAAGGGTCGCAGGGGCAGGGCTTTCCTCATCACAGGATCCTGTGCAAGAACTTTTGACACGAAGAATTTGCATCTCTCCAGCCCCCAAAGAAGTTCTTGTTATTCAGATCGCGTTTCTCCTTGACAATCACATCTTTCTTGGGGCAGCTTCCCTAGTTGAATGATGTTGACCCCATTGGATGATATGCGCACGGGCTCGGTGTGCCCATGGGTACCTGTGACCGCTTCTAGCTAGCAGCCCCAGACACCCCAGGCCCACGACCCTCGGCGGTGTCGCTGTGGGCGGGGCGCTAGGCGACCTATACCTTGCTCTTGGAGCGCATGGCCGCAGACCGTCAGGCGGTTTGGATCGGGTCGTGTTGGTGCACGACGGGCTTCTTCTCCGGCACGTGAGGGACTGCGGAGGCTTCGAAGACGTGGGAGTCGTTTCAGGGGTCATGGCCCCGTCGTTTCGAACATCCAAGAGGTCAGACCTAGCTTCGAGGATCAATCTTTCGCTGAATTGGGTCATGGCGGAGGGTCCCACCCGAAGAAGACCGAACCCCAGCGGACGAGGTCTGCGACCGGACGATCGCTTCTTTGCAGATCAGTAAGAACCCCTCCTCACTTGAGAAATCTCTTCTACCTCTCGCGCTCACAAATCAGGCGTGAGACAGTGCCGCTAGCATTCCACTCAACGGCATCCTGAACCCTATGAGGATGGCACAGGAAGAGCGACCAGTCGAGGGGAGCTCCCACCCGTGGTGTGAGCCGCCTTCTATTGCTCAAGTCCAAGCAACAACCTCGCATCATGCGGGGCGATTTCGCCCAAGAATTACAGGCAGGATTTGCTTGAAACACAGTATGCAGCCAGCAATGCGTAGATGCTCAGTGGAAAACAACAAAGGAAAACTGGAAGTTCACCAAAAACATGCTAGCAAAGACTGGCCGAAGAAAAATTGCCCTTTGAATCAGCCAGTCGGTGGCTCAAGTGTGGGGAGCCCCGTGCAAAGGGACTCAACGCTGTTCTCCGCAAGGATCTATTCCCGTTTGCAGCAGGACCGTTGTCTAGCAAACTGTCCTCAGGCAGAGCTTGGAAGCTTTAGGCATCACCGGCTCCATCAAAGTTAAAGCCAGTGAGAGGGGTTCATGAAACGTAGAGGGCTCCGGTATGAGTTCCAACTCAGAAGCCAAGAGCTGTCCCGTATGAAGTGCAGCGGAGCTCAGCCAGAAATCAACTTGGCAGAATGCCACGCGCACAAGCATCAACCTAGCAACGGACCATGAAGAAAGGCACAAAACAGTCGATCGAAACGTTGTCCTCATGAACAGGGTGCCACACGGTTTGCCATGCGGCTCAGTAGACGAGTCACCCCACCATGGCAGTGGCAGCAACCCCACGCGCCCCAACTCACCATAAGCCAAGTGGCTTTGCGCCAGGACGGCTCCATTTGAGAAACCTCTTCATAAAATGGGTGATGACTCAAGAGTAGTATCAAGAGTCTGCATGAATGGTCAGTCAGACGATCACTATTTTGGAGATGTCAGGCTGCAACCTAACATAACCTACTCATATATTCATCATCATCATCATCATCATCATCATCATCCACGTGTTTTCTTGCTGCGTTTTTTGGGGATCCATACTCCCCGCAATCATCAGGGCTACGTGGATTGCAGTGTGGGATTGCATTTTTCTCTTGAAAGACTATGGCCGTTCTCCCCTACAGAGGTCAAAGAGGGGGTTTTCAGTCCACGAAACCACGTTGGTTGTAGGGAGGGTAGCCTGTCCACCCTCTCCATCAAATTGTGCATGATACATCCCCGGACACGGACTCTTGAGCCTCACGGGATTTGCCGAAAACACACCAAGCAGAATCAAACAGACAAAAAAACACATGAACATCATCAACAAATGGTACGGGTCCATCAGTTTCCTTGGGCCGGGAGGTGACTGGTTGCCTTGTACTCGGTTTGTCACTTTCGTCGACCGAGCGAGCGCGTCTGATGCACTGACCCTCGACGCTCGTCTTCGAGAGGCGGTGGAGTCGATGATCTCGCGGGTGAAAGCCTCCGCGGGGAAGACCGCCGCACGGGTCACCGGCCGAGGCGCGGAGCCTCGCCCAGTGCCCGTGTCGAAGGGTTCGGGCGGTGCTTGGGTGGTCGAAGGGTTTGGGAGAGCTTTGTTGTTCGTTGAGCAGCTGAATACTGGAGCAGTGTGTAGGCATGCTCTTGGATTTGGTGACAGCCATAGAAAAGCCTTGTAAACCACCACAACTTGTTCTATCTTTTTCTTTGACATTTCTCTCCCACTCCGGAGGGTCAAACAATGCTGAACAAGAACCACCATGCCCATTGAGGATCCGATGAGAATCCTGGATTCAGCCCCCTCCGGAGCCACCGGACCTCGGATTTCGAAGGGGTCCAGCTTTCGGTCGCTCCACCGGTGGCCACCTCGGCCGGTGCCGGTGCTGGGGTGGGTGGCGGGTGCTTTCCAGGTTTCTTTGGGCCGGCGGGGCCCTAGAAGTCCGAACATGAACCACAGAGCTTCGGGAGAACGAAGGAAGCGAAGGATAGGGGTGCGGGGTGCCCCGCATGTCCTATGGACAGCCCCTGGATGAGGACGAGGCAGCCACCACCCCTAGCCCTAGCATCCCTAGCCTTTGTGACTCCTGGAAGATACAAAAACACGGGTGGGAAAGCTCAGCTCCGGGTCCCACCCTTGTTCTCCGATCTCAGTGCGAGGAGCTGCCAGAGGTGTCTCCACGTGCCTCGGCTGCGGGGATGAATCGACGTCCACGGGAAGGGGAGTGGAACAAGGGGATGTGGATGAACAGTGGCCGTTTTTGCCAGGGAAAGTGGATGAACAGTGGATAACCTTCAACTTTTTTTTTGGGGGGGGGGATCGGATCGGATTGGATTGGATTGTTTTTTCACTGAAGCTGAGCAGGTGGAAGAAGGCTATGTATGTTTGATAAAATATAGGCTGCTGTACTGTTCCAGTGAAGGCTGTATGTTATATATATGCTGTTATATAGGCTGTATGTTATATATGTTAATGTTCCAGTGAAACTGAGGGGGTCAGCTACTTTGAATCAATGCAAGTTTTTCCTACCTACGACCCAGACATGACCTCCATTTTAATATACGGACACGACCGGGCCATATATGAGGTGGTTGGCCACATCATATGATCGTCATTCAGGAAACCTAATTATGGGTCTTAAGGAATGAATCGTGACCATGCGTCATGGAATCATCAAACATAATCATACCCATGCACACACTCCATGGGACTGCCATAGGACTGCCGATCAGTTGGGGTGGTGCCATGCGGGTCTTTCTGGGGCGGCAGTCCTATGGCAGTCCCATTCGTCGTGTCTGGGAAAAAATGGGTCTTAAACCAGCCTCCAGTCGCAACCCACGATGTCGCCGGCAGTCCGTTCCAGTTCGACTCCAACTGACCGGTGACGCCTGGGATCTGGGGTGGTTGGCCTGGGATCTGGGAAAGTAGGGGTTCCGACCGGGTTTGGTTTGGGAAATCGCCCCCTACAAGTCCAGTCTGACCCAGGTCCAAACCTGGTCCTTGACCTCCTTAAGTATTGGTTTTGTATGACCATCTCCAGTATTTCATGAGGTCAAACTGACTTCTATGGGGACCAAACGATCCAGCCTACCCAGCCCGACCTCGGTTCGGGGGTCACCTGCCGGGGTCACCCAATCAAACCCCTCCAGTCACACGGAGGGCCTGGGTGGTGTGGCTACTCCTTCCGTTCGGAACGTCCCGGCATCCCGAGCGAGCGAGCTCACCCGACTCCTTGTGCCATTGGATTCTGATCGTGTCGTGCTGGGACCCTGGGAAGAAGCTTGAGATGCAGCTCAGCCAAGCCAGTGCAAGAAAGACTAAGCCCGATCCCCAAAAATCTGGACATTGCTGGTGCATTTTCTCTCACTTTGAGGTCTCTAAGGTTTGCTGAATGAGGGAGGTGATTCACTTCAGCAGTCGCCTTTCCCCGCGAGCCAGGGGGTGGTAGAGCCAGGCAGGTCATCCACGTCTTGGTTTACCGAAGTGTCGACCCCTAGGGCCTAGGGCCCCTTGGGCCCGACCGCAACGGCAGGACTGAAGCACCAGAGCTGGGTGGCAAAGATGAGAAGGAGTCCGGCGGCCAGAGCTTCTTTTTTCAAGCGCGGAGGGGGTGGCATTGTGTGGCCAGCTGCTTAAGAACCATCTGGGTACTGGGTACTGGGGTTAAACCCCAGCACTTGTCACTTGTATTTGGCTTTCAGCTTCCATCCTTGTTTTTGTATGTTTTTGTTGTTTTTTCTCACATGAAGATCCACCGTCGCAGGGCTCAACAAGCGTCGATGGGCGTTTTTGGGGGTTTGAACAAGTTTCATGTGTCACTCGGGGATGTAGCGGCGGATGCTTTTGGATGCCAGGAGGGATCACAAGAAGAAAAGATCATCGTCAGGACGACGGAACCAACAGCAGCAGAGAAGGCGGAGATCGTCGCCCGAGCAGCTGCTGAAAAAGCGGCCCGTGAACGAGCAGCTGCTGAGAAGAATGCACAGCTAGCCGGAATGTCTGCCGCTGATAGAGCTGCTGCTGAAAAAGCAGCCGTTGATCGCGTAGTAGCCGACAAGAAGGCTGCAGCTGAAAAAGCAGAAGCTGAGAAGAAAGCAGCCGCTGAGAAAGCAGAAGCTGAGAAGAAGGCGGCTGCGCAAAAAGCAGAAGCTGAGAAGAAAGCTGCCGCTCAAAAAGCGGAAGCCGAAAAGAAAGCAGCTGCTGAGAAAGCAGAAACTGAGAAGAAGGCTGCCGCTCAAAAAGCGGAAGCCGAAAAGAAAGCAGCTGCTGAGAAAGCAGAAACTGAGAAGAAGGCTGCCACTCAAAAAGCGGAAGCCGAAAAGAAAGCAGCTGCTGAGAAAGCAGAAGCTGAAAAGAAGGCGGCTGCTGAGAAAGCAGAAGCTGAGAAGGCAGCTGCTGAAAAGGCCGCGGCCGAAAAGAAAGCGGCAGAAAAGGCTGCGGCCGAAAAGAAAGCGGCAGAAGAGAAGCAGAAGGCCGCGAACAAAGCGGCGCTGCAGAAAGCTGCTGCTGAAAAGGCCTTGGCTGAGAAAGCAGTTGCTGAAAAGGCATTAGCTGAAATGAAGGCCGGGCCATGGCGAATGGATCTGGGTGAACTTGTATTAAAACACCCCCCCTAAACTATGTTCCACATGGGATAAATGAAGTGAATAAGTTTGGAACCCTGAGTGCAAACTTGTAAAACCCCTGTAAAACCCCTTGGACTGTTTGAACCCCACCCCTTTCCCATGGTGGACCTTGGCCGATGTTGATCCTTGGCCGATGTGTGGATGTGCCAGGCCGCCAAGGAGGAGGCCGAACGCGCTGCGGCCGAGATGAAGGCCCAACCCCAAACGCCGAGTTTCGGAGGAGCCCTCGGACTGTCCGGGGCATGAAACCACGAAGGGAGCTTAAAACCAGGACACCGTAAGGGGCGTCTATTGATAGCCCCTTAGAGGTTAAGGGGTGTCCATTAACCACCCCTTGTGGGTCCTAGAAGAGATAGTTCTCTTTTGGATTCTTTTGGTTGGTTTATCCCTACAGGTCAATGACCTCATGAAATACTGGAGTTGGTCATACAGGCACTAGCAACAGCAAGCAAACGACCTGGTTTTACTGGGCCAGACTGGACTTGTAGGGTATTGGTTTTTGATGATCTAAGAAGTTGGAGTGACTCGGGGTGAATGCGACGTGCTGTCGCACTTGAATGATGTTTGCATATGTTTGCATTAGGGAGGCAGGAAAGGCACGCAGACGTGCTGTGGACAGAACAGTTCTATCATTCGGCATCGTTGGAACATATGTTTTTTTCATGAAACTGATCAGAACTATCAAACGCAGAAGGCAAATCTTGTCAGGTCCGGCAAACCTGAAATTCACAGGGCCGCATCCAAGCAGCATCAAGAACTCACACAGGAAGAACGACACTCATGACTTAGTCCAGGTCTTGAGTCATACAGTAATTACGGTAGATTCATGGGTGATTTTGCTGAGTTTTCACCTATCAAGGACCGAAACCGCGATACACCAACCTGCAGCTCTCATGGCGCTGCATGTCTTCTGGGCTGCCTCTGGCGAAGTGGCGGCCGTCGTGAGCGCGGAGGAGTTGCAGGGCCTTGAGGAAGAGCAGCAGAACACCGTCCAAAGGCTGAAGGTGGAGCTCATGTCGCGAGGCCTTGGCTCTCGCTTCCGCATGCGCCTCCTGAAGGAAGAGGGGGAAGGGATGAAGGATGAGGATTGGCTGAGGGAGGACCTGAAGCTGGTCTTCGTGGGCTTCGAGCCCCATGACCAGGAACAGCTGAAGGCCTTTCTCCTGTTCTGCGAGGAGGGGCGCTTGGCCGACGTGGAAGAATGCTTGCAGCGTCCGATGGATCCGAGCGCGGCGGACGGCAACGGCTGGACCGGCTTGCACCGGGCCGCTCAGAAGGGTCAAGCGGAAGTGGTGCACTTGCTGCTGGAAGCTGGAGCCTCGGCCGAGGTGGAGATGGTAGATTTGTACCGACGCTTTGGCTCCACTCCCTTACACTTGGCAGCTGCAAATGGCCATTTGCACGTGGTGCGACTTCTCCTGCAAGCAGGGATAGCACCAGATCAGGCAGATCAAGAGGGAACGAGCGCTTTGGAAGGGGCAGCTGCCGGGGGTCATTTGGAGGTGGTGCGTTTACTACTGGATGCTAGGGCCTCGTGCAATCAGGCAGACTGCATTTCCCAAACTCCTTTGCACTGCGCTGCTCAATATGGCCATCAGGATGTGGTGCACTTGTTGCTGGAGGCTGGGGCCACGCCTGATGCGGAGCGGACGGACGGCTCTTGTTTCGGTTCCACTCCGTTGCACTTGGCAGTTCAGTTTGGCCAAGTCCAAGTGGTGCGCCTCTTGTTGGACGCTCGCGCGTTTTGTGACCCGGCCACTGCTGGCGTTTCTCCATTACACCACGCAGTTGACAAGGGCCTAGTGGAAGTGGTGCGCGCGTTGCTGGATGCCAGGGCCTCCCCCCACCGGCCACGCACAGACCGCGTGATGCGCACGCCCTGGCAGGAGGCATGTCGCAGGTCGCACTGGGACGTGATGAAGCTCTTGGAAGACGCCGGTGCGACGCCTGAGCCTTTTGGGCTATGAGAGGTTCCCACATGTTCACACCCATCCATTGGTATACGATGGTATACGGTATACGTAGAGAACTGAGAGAAAATGGCGCTGCGGAAGTGGCCCGGTTTTTGTCACATCGATCGAGACGGGTGATGGTTCAGCAATGCAGGTGCTTCTTTCGATCATGCGTCCTCTCATGGCTAGCTATAACTCTCCAACGTTTGAGAGTCGAAGGGGATAAACACACACACACACACACGCCACATTGTCACATAAGATGACATGTCTTGAACAAACACACACACTTTGACACTGGTTTTCCGTTAAGCTCAATTTCTCCGATGGGAAGGAAGGCGAAAGAACGGCAAGGTGGCAAAGTCCGCTGAAGAGTATTGTTGAACATTGTTGACAAGGGCACTCACACGTTCAAAAGCGGCTGCAAAAACGATCAAAAGCGGCTGCACGTCTGCGGTAGGAAGAGGTTTGGGGGGTGGAAACATGAAGAACCATGGAATCAAACAAAGCAAATTAGACAGCGTGGTCAAAAGTTCAGCAGGTACACAGGGATGATCAGTCCCTGCTTCCCCTTCTTGTCCACAGCTTCGTTGCGTGTGGTAGGACAAGAAGGCCACACGCCCCTGCCTGATTGGGGTGGTCGAAGGAACCCTTTGTCCAGGGGTGGACACGCACAAGTCGCCGGCTTCGGCGCTTTTTCAAGACACCCCCTACCGTTGAACCAGTGGACGAAAACCTTTTGCCCAGGGGTGGACACACACACACACAGAGCCGTTTTCGGCGCGGTCAAAGTAGTAGTAAGGCCAGGGGCCTCCAGTAGCGTCCTAACTCCCAGGGGAACATTTGTACAAAAAGCGCCAAATTGTTGGCGCAACGAAGAACTAGTAGACACCTAAAAAGCCTTAGAAAGACAGAAAAGGCAACGAAACAAGAGCAGACTAAGAGGGCAAGAAAGAAAAATAGGGTAGTTACGAGGCCCACTTAGTTAAACGAAAGTAGAAGGCGAGCGGGACATTCGTCTTAAACCGCCCGGGTAGCTAGTAATAGCTAGGAGAAACAGAAGGAAAGGCACCAACACACAAGTGTGTTGAGTGCGATTTCCTTCTGTTTCCCGAGTAGCGGGTGGGATAGCAACGGAGGCCTGGGGGGGGGGGGGGGG